CATCATTTTATGCGACAAGCACTACATCAATAGATGGAAGGAGCTTTTTGAATATTTTATTCGTTTGTTGTTTGATATATTTCTTTGATATATTCTTAGTATAATGAGTTTACCATTTCCTTCTTCCTGAACAAAAGATTGTTACAGTAATAAGGAATATCAGTTGGACTTTTACTGCTACATTATAAAGCTCATGTCAGGTCTGGTCAACACACCTACATCTGGCAAGTGCTCACTGTGGACTTCTCTCTGCACAACTACAATTTCCCATCTGTCACTCACTTGAGGGGTTTTGTAACACAAGGCTCAGATGGAAAACCCATTAAAAATAAAAATATAAGTTAGAATAGTTGGAAAGCTACTGTACTGCCAATAAACAAATGATTTATTTCTGTGCAGGATAATATAGGTATGTTACAATTTTCAACAAGAAAGGGATGATTTGATTCTGTGTTAATGAAAAACAAAAATACAAAAAACAAATATACAAAATATAGGCTAAGAATTTATCACAACTTATTTATATTCATGTAAACGGATGAAAACCTGGTTTGCATCTAAATGAAACATCTTTAATGGAATAATTATGAAATGAGAATACAGGCTGAATGTTAAAACTGCTTCCATAGCAGAAGAAAATGGAGTGTTGTTATCTCACTTTATTATTATATGGCTCATCTATTATTAGAGCAATAATACCCTGTTTACACTAGATGCCTTTGCCCTATGTAGGCCAACAGCGGAGCAAGAGGAAGATACCTCACATCAAAGCACCGACCCACTGTCAAGGCCAAAACTAGAGCAAAAAGAACACAAACAGTTGATTGAGAAGCACATTTCATAGATGGCTGTACATGAAATCTTTTAGTTTTATAACAGCAAAATTTGTACTAGAAGATCCTTGAAACTCTCTGTTGGTTGTAGAAAGCAGAGCCAAATAATTGTCTTCACACTGATAGGGTGCAATGTACTATTGCTGGAGATCAATACAAAAATCTGATTCTACAACACAGATTAGAGTTGGCTGTAACAAGTCAAAAGGTTCTGTCTGTAACTTTCAGAGACCTAGACGACTTTGTGCACATTCCTTGTTGTAAATTGCAGTTGTACTAATTTGATTGTCAAACATTACAAATGCAGGGCTATTAATGTTGAATTTACATAACACACTCTCGTATTCAAAACACATTCAAACATAACATGTAAGCAAAGTTAAAAAAAATAAATGCACCAGAAAGAGGGAGGATAAGAAGACTTTCCCAGTCCTTTATCTTCAACCTTCAAGCATAAGATCAAGGCTAGTGGGATCCTCAAGACTGCCTTTGACTGGCGACTGATAATCACAGTTTTCTCACAATTTCCTACTTGTAGTATAATTACACTATGTCCACACAGGAAATACGCTAAGATCAAATCCACATGAACAACACAAGCCTACATGACTGCACACATCTGGCTATAATAACAGAAATAATCAGAATACACTTAACACAAAATGAATGCTTGTTTAACATATATCAAGAGCATCCCATCTGTGCCAGTCTGCTGCAGACATGGCTCCACACACAACAAATCTGTCTTCATCATATATAGCAGTGCTCACTGAACCAAGAGCAAAGGGATCCACATGCATTTTTTCAACGCTAACCTCCAAACAATCTGGGATATCACTTAGGGAGATGACCTTGTACCTAAAAGTCTACACCACAAATTGATGGCATCACTCACTGCTCAACTGAGACCAGTACCTCATGAGTAACTTTGACTCTGCAGCTTTAAATCCTCTTACTATTTGACCCTAATCCAGACAGAGAGGTGAGACGATTCAAGTGAGAGCTAAGCCTAGCAAATAAAAGTCAGTGATCAGTTAGCAGGACAATGCAAATCAGAAAAGTGTCACATTTCGCATGAAACACAAAGAAAACTACAGTGCAGAAGAGGAGGAAACATAAACATACACACACACACACACACACACACACACACACACACACACACACACACACACACACACACACACAAGAATGAACACTGGGGCTCTGAGGCATAGCAGGACACACAAACACGCCTCTAGCTTCCTGCCTCTTGTTTCCTGTTCTCTACCAGGCAAAAGGGACATGGAAATCATTGGATATTGACTACAGGGCAACAGGATCAAGACAGATGTACACGCAGGTCACACTTTCAGTGGTGCACCTTTAAAATTCACAGTCAGATTTATAGTTTCAAAGAGGGTAGGAAGACTTTGCTAAGCAGTGGCAACATGTTAGAGCTGGTAAATGTAGGCATACAAAAGATACAAAGCAGTTGAATGAAAACAAGGGAAATAATGTGAAAAATGTGAAATAAAACAAATGAAACCATGTTAATAGTCTTGTATAAGGACACTTCAGACATAGCACAGTTAAATTTAGTTACTATAGAACAAAACAGTCATACTTCTGTGATATACTAGTTCAGAAGAAGTTCTCCCTGAAGCTTTTAGAGTCAGTTCAAGATAATCTCATAATTATTTGAATTTTTACAAATACCCACCCTCTGTACAAGGGACTAACAGTACTAAGCCCCTTATAAATAAGCCATAAGGAGTAGCTACTGGAAGAGTCTGACAGCAAACAAACACCACCAAATGCGGGTAAGGCTAATTATTCAACAAATAAGATTATTGCTGGTTAGTATACAGAGAAAACTAAAGCAACTGCACTCATTCCATAACTGTCAGGTACTGTAAAGACAATACGAAGTACGCGAAGCTGTTGCTGACCCTAGCTGTTCGCTGAAAAGTGTAAAAGTTGGACAAAAGCGGGGACACTTACGACTCGTATCCGTCAGACAGCAAAATGTACGTGCGAGGAGACAGTGACAGATTTTAAGTCCCTCATGCGGATGTGTGGCTGTCGCTGTAGTCCAGCTTTCTTGGTCTTTCTTTCCTCCCGGAGCAGGACAGGACAGGACCGGACAGAGCGGCAGCAGGGTGTCTGGATGACAGGCTGCGCTCGCGCTACGGTGAGCACAGGTGACGTCACCCTGACTGTACATTTACTGGCGGTCCGTTAAAGTGCTGCTCGTAAGATCCTGTGTCAAGCAGATTTTCTGTAGTGCAGAGGAAAAATAAACATCAGGACAGTGGTAGCCTATATTTCGGTTATCTACATATTTTATAATCCAGACATATTTCCAAATTCTTTCCTCACAGTAACATAACAAAGATAATGTTGATCTAACATCCATTAAAAAAAAAAAAAACATGCTTAGAGTACAATCTGGGGAAATATAGCAGCAGATATTAAATCTAAAGCAACAAGTCGCTGGTACATTTGCTGGCACCTTTCCAGGATTCAGTATAAATCAAAAAATTGCTATCATAAAAAAAGTGTGAATATAGGGGGTTTTTATTTTACAATTTATGTCGATTACTTTGTGCTTAATCGTCGTAAAACTGGAGTTATGGAATAAATTTAGTCCACACCATACTGCTTCACTGGCTGCAATGAATTGACAGCAAATGCTGCCTTGAGTCATGAATATTTGAAAGGCAGGTAATCCAAAACTTTTGGGGGGATTTTTGAAGGAGACACCCAATCCACCACTGAGAGCAGCCACTGGGTTTGTAAATCTAATTAGGACATCTGATACTCCTCTATTGGACCATATCTCATTACAGACACTAGATGACAGCATGTAAACATTAACATGACATTTTTTGTTCACAAGTTTAAGTCCAAGTTAGTAATTGCATGACTTCCTAAATAATGCAAAACAAAGATAAGCACCATGTCAGTAACAGACACATTTTATTTTCCTAGTCGAACAGCAACTACAATACAACAATGAATTGTGCATCTCATTATTTTGTTAATTTGATCATATATTTTTCACTCTGGTAAAGACTAAGACAGACAACAATTGCAGCATTATTTATTTGCCAAATAGGCTACTAGGACTGAAGTCTTTTTAAAGCATATCGTCTTTCTTGTTATTTTGATAACATGATATGTGGATCAGTGTACTACTGACTGATAAATTGCAAATAAAATGGGATAAAAGAAATTGATACAGACCACTTGTGTTTTTAAATCCTATAATGTACTTGCGTGGACAATGGCTCCACCAAGTGGCCATATTGGGGAGAAACAGATCTGCATGTCTACGGCCAAATCCCAAACCAATTATGAATCAGGGAGGCAGTAAAGAGTAAAGAGCAGGGGAGGGATGCACCGGAGAATTGATCATCAGAGAAATGACAGTGACAAAAGCCCAATATAGTGAACTACGCTATTCATATAAAATCATAATTTCTAATTTCTTGACATGGAATGAGTCTTGGGCATGGTATTACAAAAACTTTGAAGCACCCACCAAAGTGCAACTCAGTGAGAACTAACCATGATGTTAAATTGACTCCCTGAATAAATCCTTTGAGTTTTTTGTAGAGGCCTGGGCAACAACTTCTCATATTCCACTGTAAAGCTCTGCAAAGCAAAAATCTGTGCTTTCATGAGTATGTTTAGATCTTTTGTACCATTATAATCTTCTTTATGTGTGTGTATCCATTCAGGCTACATTAATTTTTAATTAAAAAGAAATTACATAAGATGGCAGATATGCTGTGCGGCATTGAACAAAATATAGTGCATTAGGGTGCACACAGAAAAAAAAAGCTGTTTTTAATCACACAGACCATAAGAATACATTAGGAACAGAACTCATATCATTAATACAGTGTAGTGCATTATCCATTGCCACACAAGCCGCGATAAGATATAGTTTTATGAAAAGGCGGAGAAAGTTCAGGCATCCCATACAAACTGAAACTTAAAATACCTGATAAGTTTCTTTTGCTTTCCTAAACATCTGACAGAGAAGTTAAGTTAGTGGATTCATCCGGCCCCTCCACTGTCAATCACTTGACCACTTTCCCAGCCAATTATCTGTGGAGCCCCAGCTGCTTTGGACTTTATCTGTGAACTGTTTACGAATGTCCTATCACACACATTCTGTGGTGCCTGTGCAAGGATATGAAATGTTTCTGTAGTACCACCATCGCTCAAAGCTCCTGCAAGTCTTTGCAAGCTGGCAGTTCTTTTCCCCTCTGTCTGGAAAGTTCATCTACAGGTAGGCCATCCATATTCTTAAATTCAGTATACTGAGTTATTGATACTACAAAGATTATCTAAATGAAGCGGAATATGTCTTTGGTCTTGGCAAATATGACTGGGTGCGACTTCCATTTGCTTTGTGAACAGCTGTTTCTACCATTAATTGATCTAGTAGATGAGTATGAATTGGTTTAAAGAAATGTTTTTCCTCATTATTAAGATACTCTCTGTGGCTTCATATGTGTGGTGAATGTTAATACATTTTTTGGGGGGGTATTTACAAAATAAATGCTGAAAGTAATGGACAACAGGTGTATGCTAATATGTTATGGGTTTAGGTTGCATTACTGCTTCGCTTCTGAAACAAATGTTTACTCCGGATTCCACTACATCAGCTGTGAAATTTTTGGTTGTGAATGACTCTTAATCATTCATATTTTCTTAATCTCTCTCGTCTCTCCAGTAGAGCCTACTAACCAGCCCATGTAGAAGAATGAGAGGAGAGAAGCTGTTACTACCAATGGTACTAATGTCTGTGATGTTGAGTTTTTTAACAATACAGACATCTTATGGGCAGGACTTGGCAGAGGAGCCCTGCACTGTTCAGATCCTTGTCCCTGGACTCAAAGGCATGCCGTTCTTACACACACACACACACACACACACACACACACACACACACACACACACACACACACACACCAAACTGAACAAAAATAGAATCTATTTCCATATTTTATGATTATTTTTTTTTCGATCTTTTTCTGCAAAAGGAGAACCAGGAGAGAAAGGACAAAAAGGAGCACCAGGAAGACCGGGAAGAGTTGGCCCTCCTGGAGAGATCGGTATAGTTTTTGCACTCGCAATAAGGGAAGATGCGAAAACATTTACCATACACACATGCTTATGCGTATAATTTTTTTTTTTTTTTTTCTGTTTTTAACAATACGCAATAGGCTGAAAAAAAAAAAAAAGAACTAGGGTAAAGATCACATTGCTCAGGCTGATAATGTGCTGTTACATCACTAACAGGCCATCCAGAGATGGCCAAGTGTTTACATGTGGGTGAGAGGTTGGAGGAGAAATGGTCTGCACAATCCACGGCTGCGGACAAGTGTTTACTGAAGACCTTAATGAGGAGTGGAGGGTGTTCTCATACTTTTAAAGGAGATTACACAGACTCATCGTTTTAATTAACCTACCATAGTGGAAGTAAATTGTGGTTTGAGAATTTCAGTTATTTTTTCATTAACTTTAATTGGTGTCTTTTAAGGTGCACAAGAAATGTATGTTTTTCTTTTTAAATATTTCTGTCACAATGACTTTTTTTCAGGGCAACCTGGGCTCAAAGGACAGAAAGGAATTATGGGACGTTACGGAAAAGTGGGCCCAAGTGGAATGAAAGGTTAATATAGAATGTACAAATGTAGTTCAGTTGTTTGAGAATTAAGTGTAGTATATTTTGTGTTTTATGAATAATTACATTTTATATCTCAGGGGTAAAAGGAGACAGTGGGGATCCAGGTCCAAGGGGCCCTGACGGAGAGCCAGGTGAGATATTTTATCATCTTATTTAGTTTGTCAAACTGACTGTTTAAGGTTTAAACACGAACATTTGTTGACATTTTAGAATGAATCGTTTTCGATGATGTCGTAATCCTCCATATTTTTGCCTTAACAGGTATCCCGTGTGAGTGCACACCGATGAGAAAGATGATTGGAGAAATGGACATTCTCGTGGCCCAACTTTCCTCTGAACTGAAATTCATTAAAAATGGTATGATCTTAGCATTCTTTTTAAAAAAAAAAGAAAGAAAAAAAAGCTCTTGTGTTCTTCTTGTTTGACTTCTTGTATTCTTGCTATTGCTTCACTTCTTCTCCTCAAAGTACTGCAAATGCTGGGCATGTCAATGTGAAATTTATAGAAATACAAGTGCTCATTTTTCAGCACTGCCCTCCCCTGCAGCTGTTGCTGGCATAAAAGAGACAGACAGTAAAGTCTATCTGTTGGTGAAGGAGGAGAAACGCTACTCCGACGCTGAGGTCTACTGTCAGATGAGGGGAGGGCACCTGGCCATGCCCAAGGATGAGGGAGCCAACACTGCCATTGCGGGGTACATTACTGAAACAGGCCTGAGCAGAGTCTACATTGGCATTCATGACCTGGACCGGGAGGGTGTTTTCACCTACGTGGATCGCTCTCCAATGACCACTTTCAGCAAATGGAGGAAAGGAGAGCCAAACAACGCCTATGATGATGAGGACTGTGTTGAGATGGTGGCCTCTGGGGAGTGGACTGATGTGGCGTGCCACCCCACCATGTATTTTGTCTGTGAATTTGACAAGGACAGTATCTGAGTGCAGTCCTTAGCAAACAGCTGCTAGAAGATTTGATAAATATAATGGAACAAAAGTTAGACGCATTCACTGTGTTTGTGTGATACCTTCTATCTGTAAATATGAGGAAAAAATGACATCTAAGTTGTGCAAACTCATATTTTCTTTTCTTCCCTTACAAGCATTACAAGCTATTTATTTTCTTAATTCACACAACAACCAACAAGTTTGTTCTTTGTGTTAGAATCTTACTCACTTTAAGTGCACCCTTAATCTCATACTCTGTGACTCATTAATGTTCCTGACAGTATGCAAGGTAATATACTGAGTTTTTGTTATGCAAAGTATCCACTGAGCAATATTTGCTACAGTGCCATCAACAAACAAGGCAAATGAGCAAATGCAGAGGGGCTGTAGATTTTGTGGGAAATATGAAATTAAAAGAACGATTTTGGTTCCAGTTGAGTGCTTTTAATCAGAGAAATTGAATACACCATACATTTTATGTTCATATTCGTATTCATATAATAAGTTATGTGGAGGTTGTTGTACAATAAACATTCACTAGTAATTTAAAAAAGAGACGGTGTCTAATAATTATTTTCTGCCACTGAGCTGACTAAACTTATGGGTGGAACTGTGCTTTGAACCGAATCCTGAGCTAGTGTAACACAGCCTCCACCCAGTGCATAAAAACTGAACTGCACTGTAATGGTCTCTTCAAATGGGATGTATGTTTTGTGGTTTTGGCTGCTCCATGGGCCTTTTCACATCAGACATTTTGACTTGTCACAGTAGGAAAAGCACAGGTGTTAACATTAAATTTGCTCTGTTGGAACTGAAGCAGCTAAATAAAATTCTGCCACCATTCATTTTATTATTTACACTTTGTTCTCTCTACTGTGACATAGTAAAATTTCTTCTGTGAAAAGGCCTATTGTGCTTTTTAAAAAGGTATCTACACAAACTGTTGCTATCTAGGATAAAAATCCATGATATAAAAGTGAATGTTGAGCTTGGACCTCTGGTGGAGTGGAGTTCTTAAAACTGTTATGTGGTATTGAAAAAATACCGTGTATGTGATGTTATTTCTGCTTAACCAAGTTATACTGTGTAAATGTTAAACCCTGAAAACATGTTTATATTGCATTCCCAAACCCTAAGCCTCTGTCAACAGATAAGACCACCCTCTGTAGTATGCAAACATCCTTTGGATGCAATAACTCGAGTGACCTCACATCTTAAAACATCCACATTCCAGTTTCTCGCTTTAAATAGTGCATGTTCACAATTTCTGACTTACCAACGGTAGGAAACAGTGATTACAGACTGTAAAAAATTTAATTTTTTAAAAATGGGTGGGACTGACCTTTAAGAGTGTCAACGGAAACGCTCCCACTGCAGCTCCCTGATCCTCCACTTGACAAGACACAGGAGTCATCTCTTTGGGAAACCATACATTGCATGCCAGATGCACTGGAGGAATATCACTAAAAGAAACAGCACATATAGATTTTAATCTACACATCAGATTTAATTGTGATGCTTTAAATGGGATATTTATTTGGACTCAATTGTTGGAGATTTTTCTATATTAATATTGCTTTGAAAAAATGTTGAAATCTATCTTAGGCAGTGAATTGAATCTGATGGTGTGGACTTAACAAACTGCAGTCTTGATTGTTGTACTAAGATAAATTAACACGGGCAGTTTTCCTGTGACATGACTATAATTAAAAAATAATGTATCATCTAAACACAAGAGGGTTGACAATAATAATAAATTAATTACACTTGGTAATTGTTTGACAGTGTAATGTTTGGTGAATGACAAAAACAAGACATTACACACTGTGGGTTAGTATGACATTTTCTTCTTTGAAAATCCTCAATGGTTTAGTTGTGTGATTAATAGAAGTTGTCTTACAGCCCCTGCTGTTATTGTTTTTTGGGATGGGCATCCCAGCTGAGATAATATTGCACCACTAAGAAGAAGAATTTGAATATGCATGATGCAGTTCTCCTAATAAAGCACAGCACCGGTCCCTTAAGAAATGAATAATTAATGCTGAGATGAATTATGCATTTAATTGACCAGGACTTGTCTGGCCTAAACCAATTAGGTGCCATTGTTGGTGCAATCTCTGGTTACCTTTGTGGTAAACAATTTGGACAGCTCTGTCTAACAGTGGACTGGCACATAATCTGTGCTGAAGAAAAGGTCTGTGAATGGGAGATATGGCGACAGTGCATGAAAATAAGGGGAAAAAAACACTGCATTGGATGTTCTAGCCACTTCTATATCTACCATGGAAACATCAAATTTGTATTGCAGTAGTAATGTTTTAACTTGTACTCATAAGATATAACTCAAATTTAACTTGTTAAAAAACCTATTTGGAAAGGCATGCTAGTTTGTGATGAATGCAAAGAGTGATTAAGTGGTCTTTATGTTCCCAAATGGTCAAAATTAATGATTGCAACTTTACAATAGGCCTTCGGCTTGGTTATGTTGCAATGCAAAACTCACCCCATGTTCCAGCATATGATGCTTAAGTCATTCTTCAAAATCCAGATCATGTAGGACTGATGAATCTGCTTCATTAAATGCAAATCCAGTGGCCCAGAAGATACAGAAAAATGGACTGTAGGCCACTGACAAAGTCCTCCCAAAATCCTGTTATAAGAAAGAAAGCAAAGAAAAAAAATCACAGATACCAAGGAAATGGGAAATTTTAACATAGGTAGGGTAAGTCACTATACAGTATTATTTTGAATGAGCTGTTTACATAACAGATCTCAACTTAATATTGCCTATATCTGATATGGGCCTACATTTGTGGTCATCTTTAAGCTGCTGATGTTAACGTTACTACTAATGATAAATAAATATTGTTTTTCTGGAGGCTGGTTGCCTTGGAAACACTTACGTTTTGGAATCAAACACCAAGCTTTGGCTACACACCAAAGCAAGAAGCTAGCAACACGGAGGATAGGTTTCTGGATAGTGCACCTCTCATGTGGAAGAATTGGTTTCCGTTATCAGATTCAATCTCCAGTTACGTCTCCGGAGACTCAACACACCTGCCACTGACACATTTACTATTGACACCAAGCGCCATTATTCTTTGTTTTTTTTTTAAAAACTGCTTCGTGTTAGCTAGCTAAGTATGCCAGGGAGAAGTGATTTGCCAGCAACAAAAACAATAACTGTCTACAGGAACGGAGACGCTTTCTTCCCCGGAAGGAAAATAGTTGTGAATCCGCGGCAGGTGTCAACCTTTGAGAGTTTTTTGACCTCTTTGACCAGAGGTATTGAAGCTCCGTTTGGCGCCGTGAGGAGGCTGTACACACCTGCACAGGGCCACAAAGTTAAGCGTTTGGATGACTTGAATCACGGGAGTGTATACGTTGCAGCCGGAAATGAGCAGTTCAAAAAGCTGGAGTAGGTACCGTGCTGTAAAGTGTGCCTGGGTATGTATGTATGCATGTGTGTGGTGTGGGTGTAAGCATGGAGGTCAGGTCACTATAACCGAAGACGAGCTCCAATTTGGGAGGTGCTTTCACCTCGGACGGGGATCTAGGTGCGCAAAGACGTAAAGTTTCTGTAATGTAATCTGTATTACTCACAATACACAAAAAAAAAAAAAAATATCCTCTCTAAATCACTGACAGTCCAACATCTTCCGCAGCACAAAGTTTAGAACTACATAAGTGACACCCAGTTGAACAAATGATCATGTAAACATTGAAAAATGTTTTTTAATTGCTGAGTAGAGAGGGTTTGTGAGAAACTGATATTCAATTTGATATTCAATTGATATTCAATTTCTGTAATGCTTCTTTTGTCAGTTTTGGAACCTAAGTAGTTCATACAACCCGTCTACATTTCATGTACCTAAGTGCATAAGGCGTTTAATGTCCTAAACTTACACATACATATCTTAAATAAAGTATGCATTTGGATTTACTGTGCTGTCTTCGCGACCAATATTCTTTGTCAAATTAGCATAAACTCTAAATCACTATTTAGTCAACCTTCAGCTGTAAAAACAGTTTCTTACGGGTAAGTTTTTTTATTTGAACTTGCATTATTTAGTCTAGGGATGGTTTTGTCTGTCTTTATAGACCATCAGTAACTGTATATGTTAGCAACTGAAGCCTTGGTTTGAGTCATTTACATGATTTTTTAATGTCCTCCAGCTATTGTCAGATAACAACCAAGAAACCAGAGAATAAGAAGAAAGAACAGGTAAGACTGCTTTTTGTGTTTGATCATTTATATTAAAAATAATTAAATTAAGTTTAACATTTATTTTCAGGTGCTGTATCATTATGTGTGACCATATGATATGGGTGTTTTTTAGAAAGAGGTAATTGGGACCAAACAGAGACGATAACACAAAAGTCAGAGTTTGAGTCAAACACTTAAAAATGCCTTATTCCTTATTTACAAAATTTCCAGATCCGGCCTGTTGTTCACAGCAGAATAGTAGCTTCTGCTCGCTGGAGAAGAACTACTGATGAGTCTTGCACAATAAAGTGAGTGATGATTTAAAGCTGGATATAAAGTTATCCACAATTTAAAAGGGTAATGTTCTCTGTTGTGCCATGCAATGACAGAAACCATTGTTTTTTTCTGTGTCTTATATATTGTTGTGTTTCCCAGTGTCTTTACCAACGGAGATGTTTTGGTGCCTCCAACTCGAATACGGATTCCAAAGTACACTCTCAGAAACTGGGAAAATGTTTTAGCCATGGTGACAGATAAAGTGCATCTTCGTACAGGTGCTGTGTACAGGTAATGTCTGACATCAGTACATTGTATTAAGTTAGTCATGTCCCAATGATTGGCTAGCAAAGATATTACCTGTACTTCCTCTGCATTAGAAAGATAGACCCTGACTTTAAATATACATATTTTCAAAATAAATGTAGTTTTTAAAAAAATGGTGTACATGATTCCAAAGAGTCAGCTTCTCTAACACAGATGAAAGAAGCAAGATTAGTGGAGGTTTTCCCGTCAGTTTAAATGCATTTAGCAGAGTGGAAGGACTTTTCGAATTAATTAGTGATTGGGGCCATATTGGGTTGTGATGTGCTCACTGGAATTCATCCAAAAGTGCTTGTTAGGCAATATCTGCTTTGATGGATATTTGAAAACATGCTTATATATTTATAAATTTAGATGAAACAGCCACAATACATTGCTCAACTTTGTGCTATTTCTTTACTTGACTTCCCAGGCTTTGCACATTAGAGGGAGATCCTGTCTGCAGTTCCACTGAACTGGAGAAGAACCAGCACTATGTTGCAGTTGGTGCAGAAAAGTTTAAAGCTCTCCCATATGACCAGTGGGTCCCTAGGGATTTAATCTTGGAGAACAACACAGTCGAAAGGTATGAGACCTATGACTTTTAGTCAGTGACATAAGTTTTGATTTACACAAATCAAATAAGCACTGGGTTCCTGTATTGATGTAAAAAGGAAAGAGGAAATTTGTTTGTCAGGTTTGGTTTCCCTTTGTCTTCCCTGCAGCCAAGACATCCTGCCTCCTATTAGAAAGACAAGACATGCAAAAGATGCGGTGAGTACAGCTGCTTTAGAATTGGGTGCAGTTTGCCATCTGGTTGTTCACGTTCTTGCAGCATGCCAAACTGTTACATTTTTTCCTAATTTCGCCCTAGTTTATTGTTGTAACACCTTGGTAGTATCACAGTGGAAAAGCGTATCTTTGCACACACAGCATTTCAATTAACATTTCCCACGTGTGAGACTTGTTGTGGGGGTGTAATTCGTTATGAAACAGTGCTATCATCAATCACTGTCTGCAGGAGGCATTGAGTTACCGTTGCTTTCCACTTTGATGGGTAATCCCCACAGAGACAGGCTGGCCCACTTGATCAAGTGCAGTGAGCTTCATAGACAGATCATATGCACCAGGGGGACTTCACTGACTGAAAACAAAAAAAAATCTCTTATTCAAACCAGAACCGGGACAATTTGTATTGTGATTAAGTAGACAGTGAAATGCTTTGAATCCATGTGAGGATTGCACTGCTGTGGGCCCGAGATGAACACCAGATCACACAGCGAAGATGAGAATATGCCCACTCAGCAGGTTGAGGTAGAGATGGGGCCCCCTGTGAGAGATGTGTCTGACATCTGATTTTTCTAACCATGAAAGATGACAATGCTGTGGCAGATGCCAATTTTTACAGATGGAGAAAAATAACCATAACCTTATCTCTAGCTGAATATGTGTTTGACTTGCATTACATTTAGAAAAAACATGAATATTTATTAGTAATTTATTTGAATCAGTAACTGCCATGGCTTATTTGTAGGATTTCTTGAGCCCATTAAACATATCCAGGCATAAAACAAAAGCTGGAAAACCACACTGTTATCAAACTTTGCTTAACTAAGGTTCAGTCTGAACACATTAGGTAAGAAAATGTGAAACAACAAGACCATAGCATTTGCCATTTCACACAGTACCATGAGGTGGAGACAGAGACAGAGCTATGGGTGCGTTTTGCATCCACCAGCTCATTGTAGTATTAGTCATTCACAAGACATGATGCTGCCGCATTTTACTCCCCTTGCCTCTTCGTCTCATCCCTCATGAATTTGTAAACATGATCTGACCAGTTAATAAGGACCTTTCAGAGGGGAAAGATACATGTGACAAATATTGCCCACTCTGTCTTGATCTGTCAGTTGTTTAGCTTACTGATTATACATACATTTATAGGGTCATGTCTGCCATTAATTTCAGTTTGACCTCACAAAACAACAGCAGTCTGGTTAGAAATGCCTGTAAAAAGATAATTTAAACATGCCCAGTGAGGCTGTGTAAAATGTAACCTTGCTCTTGCCACCTCACTGTACAGTAATGGTGTCTGTCCTGTCCTGTCCTGTCTGCACCGGCGGCAGAGCGTTTCTGCACCGCTGAATTGGACAGCTGGTCTGGAGCAACTACTGAAGTCTAAACTGACGGCTCTGCAGAGTGTAATTTTGAAACTCTCCAGCATACCATGTTCCCATCGGAAGCAAGCATATATGCTGAGTAAGGTGTTCACAGACATGATGAGGTAGAACGTTTTGAGGTAGACATAGCAGAAAGAGAAGATTAATAGGGGAGAGAGGAATGCAAAGAGACAAAGAGAAAGAATAATGGTGTGCATCAAAGCAAAGTAAAGTAATCATAATGAGTGCAATTGTTCTTTACACGAAGCATCCTGTGAAAATAGCCCAGAAAGTCTGACTAAACCTTCAAGAGCAGCACTCTCTGACATCAGCAATGACTTGCTGCTGCTCCCCATTTCTCTGCTTTTCTTGGATGATCTCATTGGTTAGGGGAAGTAGCAATGCCCCGTGGAAAACTATACCCCCTCGCTGCTGCCAGCATGTCTGCTCAACTGAAGACCTGGCCTTGGGAGTGGCTCCTACTGATACCACAGCCAGTATGGCTGGAGGCTGGTCGGTCCAATTGGTTGGGACCCCTGTTTTCCCCTGGCTATCATATCACAGTGTCCTCTTGTTGACTCCTGTTCTCTGCCACTTGAGAGGGCTACAGATTACTTGCTGCTCGGTCCCCCTGAGCCCCTCTCACACTGAGTCTAGCACTCTCTTTCTCTCCCTGTCTCTCTCTCTCTGGGGCCTCCTGATACACACAGTTGTCTGCTCCCACAGGACACGGTACTGTAGATATGTAATGCAGAATGAGAGGGGAGATGACCTCAGCTTTTCCATTGCTGTGTTTCCAGTTGTGCTGCTTCTTGTACTGTACTCTCCTGGCTCTGCAGCACCCCTCGTCCTCTGCTTTCTCCTCCCAGAGTGAGACGGTCTTGATTTAACTGTTGATTTAAATAAGCATGTATTTGCATCTCACCACCAGGCTGTAAATGTGGAAAACAAGCTGTTCAGTTTTTGGCTGCCCAGATTTATGTTGATTCTGAACTTCAGCATGAAGTTGTTTCACATCACTCACAGATGAATTGAGGTTATGAAACTGAATTAACAGCTTACCACTGCGACAGTGCCACTGCTCTTCTGTCTTTGATCTTGTGTGGTTGTGGACACTACAGCACTAGAATGTGAACTCTGTTTCAACTCCCCATCACTGAATATACTAGGCAAACTTCACTCTTCTTTTGTTGTTTTATTTCTCTCCCTCGGCCCACCAACGGCTGTAGAAATTCAAAAGAATATCAACAGACTTTGCCTCTGCATTAAAGAAAGCAAACAAGTGAAGAAACAACGCGGTTATTCCCCAGACTCCATGTTAGTGAGCTTGCAAACACCATTGCCAGAAGTGTATTCTGGTGGAAGCCTGAGATCACTACATTATCCCCCGAGCCAGCCCAGGGATCCAGCCAGGCAGCTGCAGTAAAGAGCACTGTAGCTGAAAAGAAACATTAAGTCTGCTCTCTCCTGCTCTCTGTGTCTGTGTCTCTCATTCTCTGTAAGGGAGACATACCTCACCTTGCTACCTACAGAGGGGATGAGGAGCCCGTGAGGAGAAAATTGCCTTTTGTGGAAGCATTAATTCAGATGTGTACCCTGCTGTCTGAACATCACTCTGAACTCTCCCCACTGCTCTCTCTCTTTTTTCTCTCTTTTCCTCTCTTGCTCCTTCACTCTCCCACAATGCAACCCTGTTCCCAAGCCTGTTTTTTTTTCCCTCCCCTCTCCATCAATAACCTTCTGCTGTCTACTGCTGAAGAATAAGTTATTCCCTACGACTCCCTCCCTTTCCCTTTAAGCTTGTTTGGATTTTCATTGTTTGATCTGGCTTGATAAATAAGACAAATGCAGTTAGAAATTCATGGCTGCCCCATTTCATCAATAAATGATTAGTTTGCCACACTCCCTAGTGATTGATAGGTTGTGCACGGGATGTATTGGAACCAGATGAATTCAATACAGTAGGAGTCACGGGGGAGCTACAAAGCATATCAACTCATGAAAAATTGAGGTCAATGGAAAATGTAAAAAGGCGTTGAAAAGAGAACAGAAACAAGTTTCACCCCATTGTGTTTTGTCTTTTTTTTCTTCTTCCTCTTTACAGAACAACAGCAAAAAGTCGATGATGAATCACAGAGAAGTCTGAGAAAATATGCCTTAATCTGTGTGCCTGTATTCTCCTCTCTTTTGTCTCTCCATGTAGTTTGCTCACACAGGCTTTAGAAAGGACCTTGAGCACACAGCCAGAGGCCAGATGAAGAAACACACAGCCAAGCCAGAGAGAACCAAACAACAGAGGCAGCTGTCCAGAAACCCAGTACTCTTCTCGACAGGGGGTAGGCAAAGTAATTCTATAGAAATATCTCTGTCTCTTTCTCTGTCTCTCTCTTCTGCCACTCTGTCCTCATAGTGTGTTTTTTTTTCCTCCAGCCCATCCTCTCTTACTATGACAACATGTCAAAACCTGTTGGCTTTTGAAGACAAATCTATATGTATATGCATGTGTTTGGGCACCGCATTTGTGCACATGTAGGAGTGTGCACCATTACTTGTTCCTCTGTGTGTGAATGTGGAGATAGGAGTCTGGTGTGTGTTTTGCAAACATAGAGAAAATCCACCTTTTGGCAGGTGGAGGAGCTTTCTTTGAATTCTCAACCTGTTCTTTAAAGTCCAAACAGAACACAGCTCCCTGCTCTTTGAAAGAAACATGACTCTTTTCTGTGAATATTAAACAGAACAAGACTTCAAACACCGTCAAGGGGGCTTAAATCATAGATGAATTCAATCAGGCCATTTTGTTGAATATGAATCCAGAAATCCCCGCTAACTATGTGGGGGGAAAACAAAATGCTCTAATTTTCTCCTGATGTGGTACTCAAAATGGTAATATGTTATTAATACCAAATAATGCTGACAGAAGATCATAAAAGTGACAAAATACTCCTTTAGATTGATGGGTTTGAACATTTCAGCAGTTGGGCTGATACTCTGTGTATCATTAATAGAGAGTAACTGTCTTCTTCTATTTAGTTATTCAGTAGGCACTGTTTCATGGCTGTTTGTTTTACCATCTGTGCTCGGTAATACAGTGACTCAACTTGAAAGACTCATCCTGGGCCACGAATAACATGATATTATGTGGTAGAATAAATTGGATAACTGCCATCGTTTGAAACCTGCCTACTTTCATAGTGCAAGAAAAATAATGTCTTTCTCCTGTTGGGGCTCATGTCAATATAATGCTGTTGTCGGTAGCTAGGCCAGAGTGAAGTTTTCTGGCCATGTTTTGGACACCTGATCATGCCTATAGTATGGTTTCCTCTCATAAAAGTCATCACCAAAGGCCCAGCAGTTAAAAAGATAAAAGTCGTGAGTTTTCCCTGCAACTAAATCGACTCTTAGAACCCTTCAAAAGACAAGTAGTGTTCACAACCATCAGCAGGTACAGGATCAGAGCCTATGGCAGCTGATTTATTTCATCATCTTGCCTTTTTCTAACAAAAGTTAGTCTAGAAGGAGATCCAAAAGTAATGCCTGACTGGAAAACAGAAACAGAAAAATAAAGTCTACATGTTCTGCAGCTGTGTAATTTCCTCTTTGAGCTAAACATATGAACCAAATCTATTTTTCTATACATTGCTCATTTTATCACTGATTAATCTACCATGCTTGGTTATTTACTATTTAAATGAAATTACTTGAGGCTATTGAGCTCTATAGTGTTTTTCATTATTCACATTCCACTCGGTATCAGATCCAGCAGCTGCACACAAAAAGGAGTTTGTTTACAAGGACAGAAACACTGTAACGTTGCCATATAAGCTATTCCCCACATGCATCAAGAGCAACCTGTCACTGTCAGGGACTAACCCTGGACTGAAAGTTCACGCTGGCTGGCCATATTTGTGGCATGGCAGCTGTGGCTTTCTGTGGCCCTTTCGTCTGCGGGACCATTCTAAATAAATAAATGGCTTGACAGCAACATTGATCTCTTGTGAAGTTGAACAGTAAAGGAAAAGGGAGAGGACAGGAGGGCAGTGAGGGATGGAGGGATAGAGAGGGAGAGAGAGAATGAGAGTGCAGAAGAATGAGACGGCGACTGCCAGCAGATGAGGTAATTGTGATTAATCACTTTTCTCAGAGGGCAGCGTGTTCAGTGCGCAAAACAAAAGAAGTGAGATGGCAGGAGCAGCAGAGGTGCAGGAGGACCGCCAGGTGAAAGTGGACCTGCCAATTGATCAGGTAAAACACAACCCCATACAGTACTGCAGCCTGATGAGGTCTTTAGCATGCGATCTTTGAACAGCTTCTGTTTATCTGACAGGAAGTAAGAATTGAATCCAGTCCAAAGACGCTATCATCAACATCACCAAAGATAAACACAGGCCCATGTGTTGACTCCAGTTAAATTAACAGTAGCCTATGCTACTAACTGAACTCATCAGTTCTGATAATTTTACAACTTGCTGTCATTGAAGCCAAATATAAAGCTGTTTACAGCTGCTGTAGCTGTTTTGCTGTATAATACATGGCTTACAATTAATCATCCTCTCTCTATTTTCCTCCCATTAAGCTTTACCTTTCTGTGTGTTTTTCAGCTTCAAACAGAATTAAGAATATACTTCTAGCACAGTGCAGTATCATGTTCGGCTCAGTATAAGGCTAATGAATGCTCAATAGAACAAGTTACATAAATATATAAATATTTAGCAAAATCAATACAGCAGTACAGTACAGTGTAAGCCAAGGGGGATCTTATTTTTTTCCCTTCCTGCAGGTTGAGGCCAAGACAGTTGAAGAGGAGTATGAAGACAGGAGTTGCTCTGCGAGTCCCTGCAAGGCCCCCCTCCATGATTCAGACGTCTTGTGTCTGCAGAGGTCTTTGTCTCAAGGTTCCAGGAAGGATGTAAGTACCCTTATTATAAGTTTTATATAGTTAGCATTTCACGTTTAGTTCATTTTTACTTTATTATTACGTCCAATTTTTTCATTTGCTTTTGGATTAGGTCACATAAAAGTGCTCTAACCAGCAATTATGGTAATCACCATTTCCATAATTGCAAGAGCATCACATAGACCTGCTTCCAGCAACTATACTTTAATCTTATGTGTGTATAACATGTTTTTCTGTCTCCATGGTTCTGTCTGTTTATTTGTGTTCTGTGTATTTACCAGTGCAACCCTTCTTCAGGGCAAGGAGAGTCAGTAGAAGGCACAGGGCACAATACTGGCACTGGAGACACAGGATTAAAGACACCTGAGCCCCAGGTACAACTTTATATAGTATGAGTTTTGAAAGCTCAGCTGCAGCCAAAGATACTGTATGTATCACAGCCTCAAGCATAAAAAATACACAGAAGTTTGTGTTGGTTATTAGAGTCGAGCTCCATAACAGTATGTGGTTGTATTTGATGTCTGTCTTTTCCTATGGTTGTTGTGTACGTTCACAGTGATGAAGTACGGCTGAGCTGTGCATACAGATGTTTTTGCATGGATCTTTGGTTCCTAGAAATTACACTCATTTAAATACACTTATTTTGCTCTAATAATCCCCAAGGGACAGCAATATGAAGCAGTGTAACCGTGATGAATGCACACTGTAGTTGGGTTATATTACTATTCCAAGCAATTTCATTCAGCTTTGAAATGAGAAGATATTGAGTCTTATTTAAGCAATCAATAACCTTGAACATTTTGTTTTAATGAAAACTATAATTTCAAGCAGTGGCAATTACACCATAGGGGGATGTTTTGGTGTGGTGATGATTTTGCTGCCGTGTGCACTTTTGCAATAAAGATATTCTTATCGGGATAATTATTGACTTCTGGGGGCCAGTTATGACCCCGGCTAAAGACCTCATCAATAGTTTAATTCATTACTTATCGCTTTTAGTCATACACGAATGTTGCTGATTCAGATTGGCTATGGATTGCAGGGAATGACCATTAGATAATGGAAAATAATAATAATAATAATAATCCCTATACAGACTCAGCTACTTTTTGCAATAATTATCTTGTCAAGCAGTTTTTGATTGTTCAGCTAAGAAAGACTGACGTAAGGAGAAGGGAGGATTTCTGTTGCAAGCTCTCCAGTTGAAAACATGCAAGAACACATCTTGACTCTAATAAAGTACAGTTTACAGTACAGTTGTCAAAACTGTGTCAGTGCTAAGAACATCATTTAAGCTAGAAAATGTAGAAAGTTATAGTAGACATCATAAAGGGACCTTTTTTTTTTTTTTTAACCGTTCTTTGCAGCAATTCTGTTTTATCTTCACCCATGTTTTATCAAGGATTACATTATATTTATAAAAGTCGTTGTCAGACTAGAAATAATGATGCTGCAGGTGAGACTTACCTCACTTAAAGTCTAACCATCATTCATGCATACTCTCCTCTTTTCCCTTTGAGGCCAAACAGACTGTCGCTGTCTCGCTGTCAGCAACCTCATCATTTAGAGGGCTGTGATAATAATGAGGGATAACTGCACTGCTATGACTCATACTTTGAGCTGAGTTCGGACAGATTTCCTCCCACTACGGTGCTCATATGTGCTTGTGAAATGCCCCGTGTACTCCCGTTATATGTGCATGTATATAGTAGATATTGATGACCAAATTCAATTACATGATTACATTTTCAGCCGAAGCTTTAAATGATTTATTGCATTGAATTTAAATAGTGATACATTTACAGACAGTACACGGGCGAGGCAGTGGTGTGGCTGCGATATTGACCTTGTGTGGTCCAGGCCAAATAAAGAATAACGAGATTCAGCATCTCTGCCAAGTGGAGATGTCCGCTGGGAGTGAAGGCAGGCTATCTCAGTGGAAGAGAGCGAAGGATGGCGAGCTCGAGTCAGATGCACATTTAAAGCTTTTTCTTATAATCACTTGACTGACTTTTGTTGGGCTTTCTGAAGGTTGGGTTTTCCTTTAGAGTGCATCTGTGTAAGGAGCTGATTGATTTCATGAGGGGGACTCGGTCTATGTTGTGGATGTCATACACGTTGAGGAATGTGGACAAGGGTAGATTTGCACTCGCTGGCGTGGTATCGTGTTTACAACTATCATTTGTTTTGATTTAACAATATTGGCTGATTTATCAACACCAGTCAGCTAAGCATTTTTTCTTAATTAATATTGTTAGAAATGCCAAATCAGCTAGGGATGTTTGATCAATCGTCTTCCTCTTCTTAAGAATTTTGTGTAAAATCGAATCATTATTGACCACTGCATCGATCCATTCCTTTCCTTTTCCAATCCAAGTCCATTTCATTTGTCTTCAGCTGGTTTTCCGTGCTCCTATTCCCCGAAGCTTGGTTACCATTTCAAAGGCCTTATTCGCCCCATCAAGGTCAACTATAATCAACTGTAGACAATGTCACCGCCTTGCTTTTCCAGTGAGATAGGCAGGGAAGACGATTCCTTTGGGCTTTTAAGGACCTGCTGCATTATACCATTCAATTACTGTTCATTAGACAGGTTACAGCATTAATCAGACTGAGATGTTCTGCAAGTCCTCAGCGGGGACAATGAACTGGGGAAATTTATTCTGGCTTCCTGTCTGGGCCGCTGTTTAGTGGTAAGGAGAGAGATGACACTTTAGAATGCACTGAAGCTTTCAGTACAGAGACAAAACTGACTAAACTGACTGTTACTCCACTCTCTGTGTCTGTTTTCAAGTCAAGTTCTCCGCTTCATGCAACTCTGTCTTTGAGTTTTAAGAAACATAGGCTTCGTCAGAGATTTACTGCTTATGTGGGAGAGTATTATGAATCTGGTATATCACTAAAAGGGGAGAAAGCTGACAGATTTACTGATTAGAGCTTCATATGCATTGAATATGACTAGATGATGATATGAGAAACTGATTTATGTTTTCCAGGAGGCTAAAGAGAGGGAGGTGTCTTCCAGGCTCCACAGATACAGGCACGGATGTCCTGGTTTTTCAAGGGTAGGTTCATCAAAGCATAAAGCCTGGTAGTAGCTCACAGGCAGCAGCAGCAGCAGCCCCCACATTACCCTCCACAGCACCTAATGCACCCATAAAGAGACCACTAATACACTCTGCATTACCAGTTCCACCCTCACATTGCATGTCACTAGATCCGCAAACCTCTCAACATCTGGGGAGCTTTACGCCATGCTTTATGGAGACCATCTGGTTGAGTTGGGTTTTTTTTGCCTCCCAATCTCAGATGACTTATTCTAGTATTAAAGGCCACTGCACATTAAGGTGTGCCATGCTGAGAGCCTGGGATTATTCACCACTCTTTATATTTCCCATGTCATTTGTAATTTGGAACCACTCAGACAGAATGAGAAGGATATGTACCTTTACCTTACCACTGCACCTCTGTTTTTCTCCTGATTTGTATTCTAAGTAGTTGCATGTCTGGCTTTTATTTGATTGATCTAGAACAGAACATCTGAAAAATACAAAATAAGTGCTATACACATTTGATTATTGGGGAAAAGAAGATAACATAGTGTTAAAACACAAACCAAGGCAATGATGTAAACTTGACATTCCTTTGTTTGGGGAATGTGCCTTTCACTTGGTTCAGGCAATTTCATTCTAATTGCTTAAAAAACACAGGCTTTGCTTGTGAGGCCCATTCAGTGGTTTCCCAGTATCTTCTATAGTCCCTTGTGAAAATTCCAAAGGTGACTAATGGAACAGGATGTGAATCTCTGCAGTGGGTTATCACTGTCGTCCCTTCAATCTGAGGTTCGCTCTGTCAGTGCGACACCAGGAAAATCAGGAATCATGCATCCTGCGCTAACAGCAGGCTCCCTAACTCATGCACGTGCCATCCATGCTATCATAAAAACACACAAATACGCATCCATATGCATGCACATATGTGCAGTTATCAAGCAGACTGCAGTTCACATCAAATGTTCCTCTCATACACGTATGTATGATTTTTACGTGTATACATGTATTCTCTTTCAATTATCCTGATATTGATAGTACTAGAGGTCGGATGCAGCCTTGTACACTGTAGTACTTGGCTATGATTTCCCTGCAGAATGTCAATGGGCACTGCAGGGGGCATTTGAATAAATCACAGCACATTTTTGCTTGCCGGCTCCAGACCGACGTACTCATTTTTTCTGTCCCTATCACATTATATTGTTGTTGGTGTTTATGAATGGTTCTGCATCATTCATATATATTCCTTCACTGTCACAGCGGATCTGCAGATGACACAGATCTGCAAAGCATGACTGGAGACTCAGAGCCATAGAGGCAGGAAGTGGGATGTGAAAGGAAATGCAAGTGATCTCTAACAGAATCAAACCTGCTTGCCACTTGCTTTGCATCAAAATGTCAATAATCTGTGCCAGTTTTTATACTGGAAAGGATTTTTCTCTGAGTGAAAATATAGGGATTTTTCTAAAAAGCAGATTTACCATCAAAGTACTTACTCTCCCTGCCTACTTCACATACTTTACCAGGTTATTCCATCTTGACTTCCATGTATAAAAATAGGAGATAGTACTGGGTTCGGTTTGGCTTAGATTCTCCTTCAAAAGTTATTGGCACCATGTACAATGGCCTTGTTATTTATGAGAACTGTTAGGGCCTCTGACAGAAGTTGTAAGCATCTTGACTGATTGGGTAGATGTGAGATGTGTGCAGTCATGGCATATTGTCGCCTGTATGTGCGCACGCCATGCAGGAGTTGCATGGCTTGCTCTGTCACAGATAAATTACTCCACACAGTCAAATTAAGTTGTTTTAAATCACCTTGCGGGCCGAGACCAGTCCTGAGTGACGACCTTTACGCCTATTTGACTTTAACTCTTATTTATGTTAATCACAATCTGTATTATACCGACAGTAAATTTCTGTCATATTCTGAAAGGTCATTGTTTTGCAGCACAGTATATGTAAGGGACAGAAAAAACACCTAGTTTTGTTTTATTATTAGTGTAAGAAGTCTTGACATTATGGTTTGACTCTGGAATATTTATATATAACCAATGTATTTTTTATTCTCAAATTTTTCCAGGAAGATGAAACATTAATATTCCTTGTGCTGATCTGCATGGCATTCATTCAAAAGGTATGTAAATATCCAAATGATATAATTAAAGTATCTCATTGATTGATCTCAAATACATAAATGTAGTGAAGCTCCATACATAACCCAGCTCATCAACCATATGACGATACAGCTTGTTCCATGTTATTGTAAACAATTATAAGAACTTGTGAGCATTACAGATGCTTGTATGGATATTAAACACTTATGAAATCCTTTACAAAGAGCTCCATTTTCATGATATGTATGACATTAAGTGCTCTTTGGATTTTAGTCCACTAGAGTACATTTTATTTTTATTATTCCTCTGCTTCATTCACCCACTCTTGTAAAAGTTTTTATTCAGGCAAAGAGCAAATGGTATCCTTGGGGATGGCTTCGCTGAGGGAGAATTTGAGCCTTTAGTTGGAGGGAAATGTATACTTTTTCTTCTCATTCATCATATACATGTCATGAAAGGCCTTCAAAAGGCAGCAGCTCCCAACAGCAATAAGTCTCTTCTTTTTTTTTTTTTTTTTAACATTTACATGGTGAAAAATAATAAGTTCCAAAGACCGTGTGTTGAAAAATCAGTCAATTGTG